GTTTAAAGCAAAGAAAGGAAAATGAATAAGAAAAAAAACAGGAAGAATGCAAGACAAAGAAAGTAAGAAATGAAAGAATGAAAGAAAAAGAAAGAAAAATAGAAGAAAAATGAATGAAAAAGAAAGAAAAAAAAAAGCAAGCAAAAAAAGGAAAATCAAGAATAAGAATTGGCACAAAACAGAAGAATGCAAGACAAAGAAAGAAAAATGAAAATGAAAGAATGAAAGAAAAGAAAGAAAAAAGAAGAAAAAAAATGAATGAAAAGAAAGAAAAAAAAGAAAGTTTAAAGCAAAGAAAGGAAAATCAAGAATAAGAATTTGGCACAAAAACAGGAAGAATGCAAGACAAAGAAAGTAAGAAAATGAAAGAATGAAAGAAAAAGAAAAAAAAAATAGAAGAAAAAAAAATGAATGAAAAAGAAAAGAAAAAAAAAAGAAAGCAAAGAAAGGAAAATCCAAGAATAAGAATCTGGCACAAAAACAGGAAGAATGCAAGACAAAGAAAGTAAGAAAATGAAAGAATGAAAAAAAAAAGAAACAAAAAAATAGAAGAAAAAATGAATGAAAAAGAAAGAAAAAAAAAGAAAGTTTAAAGCAAAGAAAGGAAAATCCAAGAATAAGAATCTGGCACAAAAACAGGAAGAATGCAAGACAAAGAAAGTAAGAAAATGAAAGAATGAAAAAAAAGAAACAAAAAAATAGAAGAAAAAATGAATGAAAAAAGAAAGAAAAAAGAAAGTTTAAAAGCAAAGAAAGGAAAATCCAAGAATAAGAATCTGCACAAAAAAAGAAGAATGCAAGACAAAGAAAGTAAGAAAATGAAAGAATGAAAAAAAAAGAAACAAAAAATAGAAGAAAAAATGAATGAAAAAGAAAGAAAAAAAAGAAAGTTTAAAGCAAAGAAAGGAAAATCCAAGAATAAGAATCTGGCACAAAAAACAGGAAGAATGCAAGACAAAGAAAAAGTAAGAAATGAAAGAATGAAAAAAAGAAATAAAAAATAGAAGAAAAAATGAATGAAAAAGAAAGAAAAAAGAAAGTTTAAAAGCAAAGAAAGGAAAAATCCAAGAATAAGAATCTGGCACAAAAAACAGGAAGAATGCAAGACAAAGAAAGTAAGAAAATGAAAGAATGAAAGAAAAAGAAAAAAAAAATAGAAGAAAAATGAATGAAAAAGAAAGAAAAAAAGAAAGTTTAAAGCAAAGAAAGGAAAAATCAAGAATAAGAATCTGAAAAAAACAGAAGAATGCAAGACAAAAGAAAGTAAGAAAATGAAAAGAATGAAAGAAAAGAAAGAAAAATAGAAGAAAAAAATGAATGAAAAAGAAAGAAAAAAAGAAAGTTTAAAGAAAAGGAAAATCCAAGAATAAGAATCTGCACAAAAAACAGAAGAATGCAAGACAAAGAAAGTAAGAAAATGAAAGAATGAAAAAAAAAGAAAGAAAAATAGAAGAAAAATGAATGAAAAGAAAGAAAAAAAAGAAAGTTTAAAGCAAAGAAAGGAAAAATCAAGAATAAGAATCTGGCACAAAAAAGGAAGAATGCAAGACAAAGAAAAGTAAGAAAAATGAAAGAATGAAAGAAAAGAAAGAAAAAATAGAAGAAAAAATGAATGAAAAAAAAGAAAAAAAAAGAAAGTTTAAAGCAAAGAAAGGAAAAATCCAAGAATAAGAATTCACAAAAAACAGAAGAATGCAAGACAAAGAAAGTAAGAAAATGAAAGAATGAAAAAAAAGAAAGAAAAAATAGAAGAAAAATGAATGAAAAAAAAGAAAAAAAAAAAGTTTAAAGCAAAGAAAAGGAAAAATCCAAGAATAAGAATCTGGCACAAAAACAGGAAGAATGCAAGACAAAGAAAGTAAGAAAATGAAAGAATGAAAAAAAAAAGAAACAAAAATAGAAGAAAAAATGAATGAAAAAAAAAGAAAAAAAGAAAGTTTAAAGCAAAGAAAGGAAAAATCCAAGAATAAGAATCTGGGCACAAAAAACAGGAAGAATGCAAGACAAAGAAAGTAAGAAAATGAAAGAATGAAAAAAAAAGAAAAAAAAAAATAGAAGAAAAATGAAAAAAAAAAGAAAGAAAAAAAAGAAAGTTTAAAGCAAAGAAAGGAAAAATCAAGAATAAGAATCTGGCACAAAAAACAGGAAGAATGCAAGACAAAAGAAAGTAAGAAAATGAAAGAATGAAAAAAAAGAAAAAAAAAAATAGAAGAAAAATGAATGAAAAGAAAAGAAAAAAAAGAAAGTTTAAAAGCAAAAGAAAGGAAAAATCAAGAATAAGAATCTGGCAAAAAAACAGGAAGAATGCAAGACAAAGAAAAGTAAGAAAATGAAAGAATGAAAGAAAAAAAAGAAAAAAAGAAGAAAAAAATGAATGAAAAAGAAAGAAAAAAAGAAAGTTTAAAGCAAAGAAAGGAAAAAATAAGAATAAGAATCTAGCACAAAACAGAAGAATGCAAGACAAAGAAAGTAAGAAAATGAAAGAATGAAAAAAAAAGAAAGAAAAAATAGAAGAAAAAATGAATGAAAAAGAAAGAAAAAAGAAAGTTTAAAAGCAAAGAAAGGAAAATCCAAGAATAAGAATCTGGCACAAAACAGAAGAATGCAAGACAAAGAAAGTAAGAAAATGAAAGAATGAAAAAAAGAAAGAAAAAAAAGAAAGAAAAAAAAAAAAGAAAAAGAAAGAAAAAAGAAAAAATTTAAAGCAAAGAAAGGAAAAACAGGAAGAATAAGAATCTAAAAAAAAAGGAAGAATGAAAGAAAAGAAAGAAAAAAAAAAGAAAAATGAAAAAAAAGAAAAAAATGAAAAAGAATGAAAGAAAAATAAGAAAGAAAAAAGAAGAAAAAAAAAAAGTAAGAAATGAAAAGAAAGAAAAAAAGAAAATAGAAGAAAAAATGAATGAAAAAGAAAAAAAAAGAAAGGAAAATCCAAGAATAAGAATCTGGCACAAAAACAGGAAGAATGCAAGACAAAGAAAAGTAAGAAAATGAAAGAATGAAAGAAAAGAAAGAAAAAATAGAAGAAAAAATAAATGAAAAAGAAAAAAAAGAAAGAAAAAAATAAAGAAAAATCAAGAATAAGAAGCAAAGAAAGGAAAATCTAAAAAAATGAAAGAATAAAGAAAAAAACAAAAAAATAGAAGAAAAATGAATGAAAAGAAAAAAAAAAAAAGAAATGAAAGAAAAAAAAGAAAAGAAAAGAAAAAAGAAAGAAATGAAAGAAAAAGAAAGAAAAAATAAAGAAAATGAATGAAAAAAGAAAGTTTAAAGCAAAGAAAGGAAAAATCCAAGAATAAGAATAAAGCACAAAAACAGAAAAAGAATGAAAAAAAGAAAGAAAAAAATGAAAGTAAAGAAAAATAGAAATGAAAAAAATGAATGAAAAATGAAAGAAAAAAGAAAAAAAAAAAAAAAAAAAACAGGAAGAAAAAAGAAAATGAAAGAAAAGAAAAAAATAGAAGAAAAAAATGAAAAAAAGAAAAAAAAAAAAGAAAGTTTAAAGCAAAGAAAAAAAATCAAGAATAAGAAGAAAACAGGAAAGAAGACAAAGAAAAGTAAGAAAAAAGAAAGAAAGAAAAGAAAAAAAAAAAAGAAAAATAGAATGAAAAAAAAGAAAAAAGAAAGAAAGAAAGAAAGGAAAATCCAAGAATAAGAATCTGCACAAAAAAACAGGAAGAATGCAAGACAAAGAAAGTAAGAAAATGAAAGAATGAAAGAAAAAGAAAGAAAAAAATAGAAGAAAAAAATGAATGAAAAAAAAAATTAAAAAAAGAAAGTTTAAAGCAAAAGAAAGGAAAATCCAAGAATAAGAAAACAGGAACAAAAACAGGAAAGAATGCAAGACAAAAGAAAGTAAGAAAATGAAAGAATGAAAGAAAAAGAAAAAAAATAGAAGAAAAAATGAATGAAAAAAGAAAGAAAAAAAAAGAAAAAAGAAAGTTTAAAGCAAAGAAAGGAAAATCCAAGAATAAGAATATAGCACAAAAAACAGATAGAATGCAAGAAAAAGAAATTAAGAAAAAGAAAGAATGAAAGAAAAGAAAGAAAAAAAAGAAGAAAAAAAAGAAAAATGAAAAAAAGAAAAAAAAAAAGTTTAAAGCAAAGAAAGGAAAAATCCAAGAATAAGAATCTGGCACAAAAACAGGAAGAATGCAAGACAAAGAAAGTAAGAAAATGAAAGAATGAAAGAAAAAGAAAGAAAAAAAAAAAAAAAATGAATGAAAAAGAAAGAAAAAAAGAAAGTTTAAAGCAAAGAAAGGAAAATCCAAGAATAAGAATCTGGCACAAAAACAGGAAGAATGCAAGACAAAGAAAGTAAGAAAATGAAAGAATGAAAGAAAAAGAAAGAAAAAATAGAAGAAAAAATGAATGAAAAAGAAATTAAAAAAAAGAAAGTTTAAAGCAAAGAAAGGAAAATCCAAGAATAAGAATCTGGCACAAAAACAGGAAGAATGCAAGACAAAGAAAGTAAGAAAATGAAAGAATGAAAGAAAAAATAAAGAAAGAAAAATCCAAATGAAAAGAAATAAACAATAACTCGTGTAAGACAAAAAGCAGAAATTATGTAAGGCAAAGAAAGAAAGAAAATAGAAAAATGGATGCATAAAGAAGAAAACAATGAAAGAAAAATTAAGACATACACGAGGAACTTGTGCTGAACAAAAACAGAAAGAATGAAAGGCAAATAAAGAAAGAAAAAAGAAAAAAGAAGACATCAAAGTAAGAAAAACCAAAATTAAAAGAAATAAAGAACACAATAACAGAAAGAATGCAAGACAAAGAAAGAAAAGTCGAAAGAGAAAAAGAAAGAAAGAAAAAAAGAAAACACTAAAGTAAGGAAAGAAAAATCCAAAGTAAAAGAAACAAGAATCTAGCACAAAAGCAGAAAGAATGACAGACAAAAAAAGAAAGAAATCAAAAAGAAAAAAACAAACAAAGAAAGAAAGGAAGAAAAAATCAAAGAACTAAAAATCCAAATTAATTAAATAATAATATATTAATTAGAAACAAAAATCTAAAGCAAAACAAAAACAGAAAGAATGCAAGACAATGAAAGTAAGGAAGATGGACAGTAAAGAAAAGGAAGAGTCCAATGCGAAGAAAGCAAAAACACCAAAGTATAAGAAAGAAAGAATGCAAAGGAATTTAAGAATGAAAAAAAAAAAAAACGAATTAAGAACCAAAAACAATAAAGAAAAGATGGAGAGAAATGGAAAAAAAAACGAAATCAAAGAGAGAAAAAATCCCAAGTAAAAGAAAGAAACAAGCAAAATAAAGACAAACGATCCAAGACAAAAAGAAAGAAAAAATAGAAGAACATAAAGAGGAAGAAAATGTAAAGTAAATGAAGAATGTAAGGAGCCAGAATAGAAGAAAGACAAACAGCACATAAAACAAAGAAAGAAAGAAAGAAAGAAAGGAAAAAAGAAAGAAAAAAAGAAAGAAAGGAAAAAAGAAAGCGTGTAAATCAAAGAGAAAAAAATCGAAACTGATAGAAAAAAATAGTTTGAAATAAAATAAGAATGAATTCAAATTAAAAGAAAAATATAAGCAAGAATCTCACTTCATGCTAAAAGAAATAAATTCTGAAGGAATGAAAGAAAACAATCAAAATAAAAGAAAAAAAATTAAGAACGTAGGCAAAACGAGATCAGAAAAACCACAAAAGAAAAGAAAGAAAGAAAGAAAGAAAGAAAGAAAGGAAGAAAGGAATGATGAAAAATAAAATAAAAAGAAGAGGAAAAAGTTAAAACCAAAGAAAAATAATTCAAAGAAAAGAAAGAAATAAAGAATCCAAAATAAGAAGAAAGACAGAAAGAAAGAAAGATTCTAAAGCAAAGAAAGTAAAAATATCCAATATAAAATGAAGACAAAAAGGAAGAAGCAAAAATCCTGATAAAACAACAACATAAACAATGAAAGACTAAAGAAAGAATCGGAGACACAACAACAACAAAAAAGTAAACACGAGGGAAAGAATAAAGAATCTAATGTGAAGAATAAATGGATCTTAAAGAAATGAAAGTGAGAAAAAAAGCAGAAATGGCAATAAGAATAAAGCAAAGAAAAATAATGAATGAAAAATAAGGAATGAAAAAAATCAAAACTGAAAAAAAAGATTTCAAAATAAAAGAAATAAAAAGAACGAAAATATCTTTTAGAAGATAAAGACGTGAAAATACAATTTAAAAAAGAAAAGACCTAAACTAAATTGTAAAAAAAAAAAAAATCAAAAAGAATGAAAAAGAACGAACAGACGGCAAAAAGTGCAAAAAGCAAAAGAAAAGGTAAAATATTCAAAGTAAAAGAAAGAAGGAAACAAGAAACTAATTCAAAAGAAAGACAGTAAGAAGGAAATACGAATGTAACGCAAAAGAAACAAGGGAAGAAAAAAAGAAGAAAAATCTAATACAAAATAAAGAAAGAAGGAAGGAAGGAAGGAAGGAAAGAAGGAAAGACAGAATAATCTAATACAAAAGAAAGGAATAAATAAAGAAAGAGAGAAAGAGAGAGAGAGAGAAAAGAAAAGAATGAAAGAAAAGAAGAAAAAAGAAAGAAAGTAGGAATAAACAAGAATCTATGCAAAAGAAAGAAAGAAAGAAAGAAAGAAAGAAAAAGGAGGAAACAAGTATCTAAAGCAAAAGAAAGAAAGAAACAAACAAGTATCTAATGCAAGAAAGAACGAAAAAGGAGGAAACAAGTATCTAATACAAAAGAAAGAAAGAAAGAAAGAAAGAAAGAAAAAAAGAAAGCTCAAAAGAAAGAAACAAGCAAAGAATAAGTAAGAAAGAAGAAACTAAAAGAAAGCAAGAAAGAAAGAAAGAAAGAAAAAGGAGGAAACAAGTATCTTATACAAAAGAAAGAAAGAAAGCAAGAAAGAAAGAAACAAGCAAAGAATAAGTAAGAAAGAAGAAACTAAAAGAAAGCAAGAAAGAAAGAAAAAGGAGGAAACAAGTATCTAATACAAAAGAAAGAAAGAAAGCAAGCAAGAAAGAAAGAGACATGCAAAGAATAAGTAAGAAAGAAGAAACTAAAAGAAAGCATGAAAGAAAGAAAGAAAGAAAGAAAGAAACAAGCAAAGAATAAGTAAGAAAGAAGAAACTAAAAGAAAGAAAGTAAGAACGCAAAAGGAAACAAGGAAAGGGGGGAAATAAAGAAGGACATAAGAATCTAATTCGAAAAACAAAGAAAGAAAGAAGGTAAGGATGAAGGACAAAAGAAATAAAGCAACAAGAATCTAATGCAAAATAAAGAACGAAAGAAAGAAACAAGAACTTAATGCAAAAGAAATAACGAAACAGTAAATCAAAACCAAGAGAAACTATAATAAGCAAAAATAAATAAACAAATAAGAATCTAAAATAAAAAAAAACAGACAGAAAAAGAAAAAATCTAAGGGAAAAAAAAAGAAAGAAAGAAAGAATGAATGAATGAATGAAAAGCACGCAAACACATTCAAGTATAAGCATCATTAATCACTAGAGATTCGCAGATTTCAAAGAAAGGAATATGAAAAAAAAAATGTAAACGTGAAAGAGAAACAATAGAAATCATTCATATTTTTATTGTTTGTATTTGGCGAATTGAAAACGTTTTTGTTTTCTTAACCCAGACGTGCTACATTTGTGTAAATTCTCCATACAATGGAGTTAGCTAATTCTTTACACTCAGAATATTTGACAAAAAAAAAAAAAAAAAAAAAAAAAAAAAAAATGGAAAAGAAAACACATTCTTCTTTGTATGGCTTGGAAGACTTTTTCCCCTCGGGGTGATTTTGTGGTAACAATCTCTAAATACTCAGTTTGTATTGGACATAAAAACAAAACAAAAAAAACTGTTGATAATTCCTTGGTAAATTCTGTCACAAACTCCTACCCTCAGGGAATCTGCAACAATATATTTGTTGAGACCATGGGCAACTTCGTCACGTAATGAATAGCATACGGTAATACATACAACTCTACTAGCCTCATCCACATGTAAAAAAACAAAAACAAAAAAAAACTGAAAAATAATGGAAGCACTAATAATAAAATGGAAAAGTCAACACTCAGAAACATCAACTACGAACACGGCCACAATGCGCTGACCGTTTTTGGAAAATAAAACATTCCTATAACTCTAGACACGTAGATAAAAGCCTATGAATTCAGTTAAGAATAAAAAATAAATAAATAAATAAAAGATAAAGGCTAAAACAATGATCGTAAGTGCTCGGATATGCAGAATATTTCGGCAATTTTTACATACATTATATCCAGAAAAGGAAACACTTATAAGAAAACAAGAAAAATGAAATAAGCTTAATCGCAGTAGGTTCTCAGTTGTCTTTAAGGAAACATATATAAAGAGGTACTGGTGCCAAAAGACAAATTAATATATATATATATATATATATATATATATATATATATATATGGACACTCTGGCCATGAGACGCGGGTTCGAATCCCACCATGGTCGATTTATCAAGAAGGAGACTTTGATGTTATCAATCCAATAGGCGGCACCTTTGGGAAGTGCCTGAAAACCATGCCATGAGCTGCAGTATAAAACACCTCGTGCACCCTGTGGGTGTTAAATAAACACAAATGCGAAAATTTCTTTTGGGATTTGAATAATTTCTCATAATAATTCATCCAGTCAAGAACATGAAACCCTTATGTGGGTAGTCCCCATTAAAACACTTCAAAATATTTGGGTCAATTCACATTGTGCAGACGATTCGAAAGAGTTGGATGAGTCTAATGGTGATTACGAAGGTACGGCAGCTGGGAAAACTCACTCTGATCATTCTGCTAAGATAAGAACATCCGAATTTGTTGGTGAGAACCTCAGACTCAACATGGAGGCCTACAACAAGTGCCCTGGGCCAAAAGAGTGGCTACTGGAAGACTCTATGTCTGGCAACATGACTCTGCATCATGCAACACAAGCAGGAGAACCCAGTCTTGATTGTCAGACAATTTCTGCGACCACATCACCCCTTACATCTAGCCACCCAATTCCTCAGATTGCACCCCACTTGATTATGTAGGGCGCAGTTGAGTGAGAAATCAACAAAAACTTGTAGCACCAAAGATGAACTGAAGGCAAGGTTTATGGCAACATTCATCAACTTTAGCAAGGAGACCGCCCAGAAGAGTTGCAGAAGATTCAGAAGTCATCTGGAAGCCATAGTAGAAGCCAATCGCGATTTTATCGAATAAATTTACTCTTTAGAATTTCATGATATTTTTGTATAATTTTGGTAAATATACAGCGATGGAAATAAGTATAACTGTTCAGGACTTCGACAATTCTCTTGCAATGAAACTTATAGATTTTCTTTCCAGTTTATAGGCAGAAATTTGCCCTTTTTCATTTTCATTAATGGGTGGGAAGAGTTCCTAGGCATTTTGCAGTAACTGTATTCAATAATGAAATTGTTAATAATTTTCTTATAACTACACAAATTCCTCTGAAAATTTATGTGTGGTACCTAGATCCGATAATAATTTTCCAGCAAAAAGTTTTTAAGAAAATACGTTTTTGAGGGTGGAAATAAGCATAGGACAATTTTGAAAATTTGTATTTAACAGCAAAATTGTACAAAATTCAATATTTACATTCATTCCCTTTCAAATGTAATACTTCAAGACACTTGTTTTGTATTGAATCAATAAGTTTTCTGAGAATTTCAGATGGAATTTCATTTCTATAATGTTTAATGCAAAATTTTAAAGTTTCTATCTTCAAATTGACATTTATTTTTTTATACTCTTTTGACAAAATTCCCACAAAACTTCTTTGGGTTTAAATCTGAGACTTAGTGGGCCGGTTCAAAAACTCCAATATTTTTTGTTTTAAACCAGTCTTTCGTGAGCTTAGAAGTGTGTATGGCTGCGTTGTCCTGTTGAAAAATGGCATTATTGGTGCCTAGACGATTTATAAATGGGACAAGACTTTTTCCAACACATTGATATATCGAGCAGAGTTTTGTTTCCCTTCCATCACTACTAAATCAGCCTTTCCAGACACAAAAAAAGATCCCCAAACCATAACAGATCCTCCTCCAAATGGTCTTTTTGAAAACAGCTGCTTCTCCTTTCTTAAATCATGACAATAACATTGTTAGCCGTCGGGCCCATCCAAATAAAAAATTTTCTCATCAGAAAACACCATCGTTTCCCATTTGTCCTTTGTCCATGTTACTTTTTTCTTTACCCAATCTGCCAGCATCTTCTTGTGTTTAGCAGTTAGAGCAGGGGCTGTCTTCCTGTTTCATTACACAAGATTTGGTGATTCATGGAGAAGTTGACGAATTCTTCATGGAATGATGGGTAAATTCTGAATTTTTTGCAGATCTCTTGAGCTTGATTGTCCTTTAGAAGCTTCTCGAAAAAGTCAACGTCTGCCTGAATTTGTAATTTTAGGTCGACGACCTGGACGTTTTCTGGTGCCATATGATTCAGGATCCTTTAGATAATTTCTCACAACTATTGAAGACTTCGACAGTTCTCTTGCAATGAAACTTATAGATTTTCCTTGCAGTTTATAGGCAGAAATTTGCCCTTTTTCATTTTCATTAATGTGGGGGGTTCCTAGGCATTTTGCAGTAACTGTATTCAATAATGAAATGTTTAAATAAGACTCACGTGGTTTAAAATCATGATAAGATAAGAGACTTATCTGTGCATTCTGATGTAAACTAGATATTCAAATTTTCAAAACTGTCTGATAATTATTTCCACGCTCGAAAACAAAGTTTCGTTAACCTTTTTTTCGTGGAAGGTTGTTATAAAATCAAATATGTGCACTAATACCCATCGGAGCTAGGTACCACACACACATTTTTAGAGTAATTTGTGCTGTAATAACAAAATTATTAGCAATTTCATGGGGTGTCTTATACTTATTTCCACCACTGTATATGTTAAAATGAAATGTTAGTGTTATTTTCATTTTCGCGTAATTTAGACGACAATTTATCTATCGCACGCTATATCAGTTCAGTATTTAATCTTCTTTTAAGTAATATCCTCCTGAAGTTACGCACCTTTTCTAGAAAGAGGTTAAAGTTGCAAGGGACGAGATCTCGGGGAAAGCTGTAACGCGAGGGGAAGTAGAAAAATCAGGCGTGGCTGACCACATATGGAGAGAGAAGGGAGATCACCACCCCCTGTGGGATCAGGTTGAGATCATAGACAGGGAACACCATTGGAAAATCCGTAAACTTAAGGAATCAGCACATATGCTAGGCCAAAAATAGAAATAAATACAATATGGGAACCAGTAATAAGGAGTGCCAGAGAAAAGCAATGATAACAAAGTTGCAATATGAACTCTGGTAAAGACATGCAATGATAACAACAAAATTGCAATATGAGCACTGGTAAAAATGATCCTCCTCCAAATGGTCTTTTTGAAAACTGATGATAAAAATGATGCTGAAAACATTAGGTTTATAATACTCAGAAGTTCATACCCAGATGTCCTCAAGGACACATGGCACAGTGGATAAAGGCGTTAGTTAGATCCAGTGACAGACCCAAAGAAGGTGAGTTCAATACCTGGTTAAGGCAGTGGAGAACTTTCAGAGGGAAAATTAGCAGGAGATAACAGATAACTGACATCCATCAAACATGGCACGTGGAACTAGAACAGTCTACCCCAATGATAAAGGGTTCAGTTCGAAATGCCAACCGCTTGAAGAAGGCCGGAGCGTACAACGATGACAAATAGTCCGACTAATGTAAATACTATATATATATATATATATCGGCCTTGCTAACCGAAACGCTCCTCTGTGACGAATTTGGTTAAAAGCATGTCAGGTTATATGACGGTTCCGTATAGGATACAGTTTCAAATATTTTCTATGACAATTTCAGGCCGGTAAATATTGTTAATATATATATACATGTTCCATTAAATAATATAGACAAGTGTTTTCTATTTATTTTATGTAAATTCTTTTCATATCGTCTGATAAGCTTTATAACAGTATCATTAAACGAAGAATATATAGAAAGAAATATTGATACATATTTTTTTAATCCTATCTGAACTTTCGGCGGCTTACATAAGCCATTATCAAAGATGACAATTACATTACAATATATTAAGCAATACACGGACAAGACAGTGATGATAGTCCGTTTCTCTTTACATGGAAGATTTCCAAGCAACGATAAGCACGTGCATATAAGACGCTGGAAGCGAAAATCGCACCGCAGCTCATGATGTCACCCATGACCACGCGAGAGTGAATTCGGGAAGTATTAAGTATGGGAAGTATGTTACCAATTATTTAAGAATATTTGTGGAGATTTCATAGTTTATTTTGTTTAGGTTAGGTTTCAACTGTTTTATGTATATAGCTTCAAGAATTTTTAGTTTTTGTTTATTGTTTTCATGTTTAAGTATAGTTGTGTTTTCGACAAGGATTTTACGGAATTGTGTGTTCGGCCAGCCATGTTGTTTTAAA